CCTAGCCAGGATCTCCAGCCAGGATCTCCAGCCAAGTTCTGGTCTGGATCTCCAGCGAAGTTCTGCTTCGGATCTCCAGCCAGGTTCTGTGTCCATGTTGTCTTGCTAGGTTCTCCAGCCAGGTTCTGTAGCCATGTTCCCTCGCTAGGTTCTCCAGCCAGGTTCAGTCACCAGGTTCTAGTCAGGTTCTCTTGCCAATTTCTGTAGTCAGGTTCAGTCCAAGATCTTTTGCCAAGTTCTCTCCAGCGAAGTTCTTCTGTCTCTAGAGAACGTTCTGTGTAGGTTCTGTGCCTAGGTTCCGTCTCTCTCCGTTCTGTCTTCTTACATCTGTATTTATACCAGTTGATTCCAATCCTATCAATCTCTATTTCAAAGGTTAGGGCGTTTCTTATCTCCATTCCAGGGAGTAAAGATTATGTAGCTCAAGCATCATTGTTCATAGTTAAAGTGATTAATTACCCGCCTGGCACTTAGTTAAGAGGTTTTATTCCCTCCCTAACTTCAGGGGAAAATCCCTACCTGGGGAAACAACCTTTCTCAGAGACCTTGGTTAAAACACATAGTGCCAAGAAGGTGAGCAAACATATTAAGAACAGTATGCCATATATGCCAGGTCCCTTGAAACAGCAAGCATGGACCGGCTCCCGGCAAATTCCCCCTTTTTTATTTTTTAAAAGCGGGCATTAAAAAGAAAACCCCGAAATGCTCTCTTGTATCCATTTTAAGAGTAGGATTGGCGCTTTCCGCTATTACCTGAGTCCTGATCTATCACCCCAGGGAGAGCTTGCCAATTCTGCACTTTCCCGGGGTGGAAAGGCTGCAGTGGGGTTAAGGATAAGGCTCCTTGGGCCTACCTTCTCCCATGCCTTTACATTTACCTTTCCTTCCTCAGAAAAGCATGGACATACTTCTTGTGTAAAACGTTCTGTCTGACTGGGAGTAACCTTAATTCCTCTGCTAGCAAGCATATGTGTTAAAAGATCAATCAGAGTCTTCTTTCTTTGGACTCAGTATGGCACATCTTCTCAATCTAAGTTCTGTACTATCCACCTTCTTACCCTACTTATCCTCTATAGGGGGGTCTGTAGTACCCTGGTGGAGTCCTATCTGTCCCGAGTGTGGGGGTTCTCAACGGGGGGGGGGGGGGGGGGGGCTTACCTAGGGGAATCCTGTTCCAGGGGTTCCCAAAGGTGTGGACTGAGTCGGCGAAGACTATCCACCCTCTTCCTACGGTGGAGTCCTATCCATCCCGAGAGTGGGGCTTACCTAGGGGTCCCTGTTCGGGCGCCATATGCTGGGGTCCAACCCCAGCAGGCCCAGGGGTCCCCAAAGGTGTAGACGGAGTCGGCGAAGAAGGAATGACACGGAGGCAGCATTCAGTTGATCAGCAGCCTAGCCAGGATCTCCAGCCAGGTTCTGTGTCCATGTTCTCTTGCTAGGTTCTCCAGCTAGGTTCTCCAGCCAAGTTCTGGTCTGGATCTCCAGAGAGGTTCTGCTTTGGATCTCCAGCCAGGTTCTGTAGCCATGTTCCCTCACTAGGTTCTCCAGCCAGGTTCTGTCCAGGTTCTCCAGCCAGGTTCAGTCACCAGGTTCTAGTTAGGTTCTCTTGCCAATTTCTGTAGTCAGGTTCAGTCCAGGATCTTTTGCCATGTTCTCTCCAGCGAAGTTCTTCTGTCTCTAGTTCTGTGTAGGTTCTGTCTTCTGAGTTCTGTGTTCTAAGTTCTGTGTCTTGCTGTCTTACTACATCTGTATTTATACCAGTTGATTCAATCCTACCAATCTCTATTACAAAGGTTAGGGCGTTTCTTATCTCCATTCCAGGGAGTAAAGATTATGTAGCTTAAGCATCATTGTTCATAGTTAAAGTGATTAATTACCCGCCTGGCACTTAGTTAAGAGGTTTTATTCCCTCCCTAACTTCAGGGGAAAATCCCTACCTGGGGAAACAACCTTTCTCAGAGACCTTGGTTAAAACACATAGTGCCAAGAAGGTGAGCAAACATATTAAGAACAGTATGCCATATATGCCAGGTCCCTTGAAACAGCAAGCATGGACCGGCTCCCGGCAAGAAAGGGAGAGAGATAGAGAGTTAGAAACATCGATGAGAGAGAAACATCGATCAGCTGCCTCCTGCACATCTCCCACTGGGGATGTGCCCACAACCCAGGTACATGCCCTTGACCGAAATCGAACCTGGGACCCTTCAGTCCGCAGGCCGACGCTCTATCCACTGAGCCAAACCGGTTTCGGCGTGTCATATTTCTAATAAAATACTTTATATGCTTTATAAATTCCCATTCTACATTTATGAAATTATTATAACAAAGACTAGATTTGACCTAAAATAAAGCAAACATAAAACTTGACAGAGAAAAAACATTTTCAAATGAAGGTGAAAAATACATTATTAACCTTGGATCATGTTACTCTAAATTTTATGATTAGTATGGCCACAGATTATTAACCTGAGCATAATAATGGGCATAATCATAATAGCCACAGTTCATTTATACCAAGGGTTTATTTAACTCACTGTGTCAGGTACTGTAATTAGTGCTTTGCTTTCATATCTTATTTAATTTTCACAATAATCCAGTGAAGGATATATTAATATTATACACATTTTACAGATGAGGAAGTAGAGGCTTACACAGATTAAATGACTTGTCCAAGGACACAGGGCTTGGCAGGAGAAGGGTCTGACTCCAAGTCTATCCTCCAAAACACAGTCAGTACTCAGCTCCCAGCTCTCCCCTACCAGAGTGACCTTGGGTAAGTCACCTGAAGTCTCTAAAGCTCATTTCCTGTAGCTGCAAAATGCAAATTATATTAATATACTAGAGACCCAGTGCACAAAAATTTGTGCACTCGGGGGGGTCCCTCAGCCCAGCCTGTGTCCTCTCACAGTCTGGGACACCTCGGGCGATGTTCACCCACTGGCTTAGGCCCGCTTCCCAGGGTATCGGGCCTAAGCTGGCAGTCAGACATCTCTCTGGCAGCCCGGGAGCCCTCGGGGGATGTCCACTTGCCAGCGGGGAGCAGGCCTAAGCTGCAGTCAGACATCCTTAGTGCTGCTGAGGAGGCAGCAGAGGCTCCCACCACCACCACTATGCTGGCAGCAGTCAGCCTGGCTTGTGGCTGAGCAGAGCTCCCCCTGTGGGAGCGCACTGACCACCAGAGGGCATCTCCTGCATTGAGCATCTGCCCCCTGGTGGTCAGTGTGTGTCATAGTGACCAGTCATTCCCAGTTGTTCTTGCTGTTAGGGTCAATTTGCAAATTATCCTATTTTATTATATAGGATAGAGGCCTGGTGCATGGGTGGGGGCCAGCTGGTTTGCCCTGAAGGGTGCCCCGGATCAGGGTGGGGGTCCTGCTGGGGTGTCTGGCCAGCCTGGGTGAGGGGCTGATGGCTGTTTGCAGGCTGGTCAAGCCCCCCAGTGGGGACCCTCACCCCATGGTGGTGTGGCCAGCCTGGGTGAGGGGCTGATGGCTATTTTCAGGCTGGCCACAGCCCCTTCAGGGTGGGAGGGTCCTGTTGGGGTGCCTGGCCAGCCTGGGTGAGGGGCTGATGGCTGTTTTCAGGCTGGCCATGCCCGCGGGCTAGAAGCAAGTATCTGGGATTTATTTAACTTCTTTAATTGAAACTTTGTAGCCTTGGTCTGGCTCAAAGCCTGGGTTGCCAAGGCCCTCCTTGAGCAGGGGCCACCACCAGCTGGAATAGGTATCTGGGATTTATTTATCTTCTATAATTGAAACTCTGTAACCTTGAGCAGAGCTCAGGGCAGGCCAGGGCAGGTGGGAAGCTTGGCTTCCTCCATCACCGGGGGCAACCCAAGCCTCTGCTCACTCCAGCTCCGTAGCTGTCGCCATCTTTGCGCCAGAGTGAGGGAGTGATGGTTAATTTGCATATTACTCTTTTATTAGATAGGATGCCAGAATTGTTGAGAACTAAATAAGATAGTTTATGAGAAGGTTCTGTGCAAGTTTAAGCTATGTTAGCTATGTAATTGTTAAGTTACTGATGAGGTCAAATGAAATGTTGAAAATGAAAAAACTGCTTATTAGCTCTTGGGAAGGATTTTCCAACAATAATAGTATACCTAGGTGAACTTTCCTGGTTGTTTTACCTTGCTTAATGTAGAAACTATCACATAAAGGCAACTATGAATCAATATTTTATTATACTGAAAAAGATAGATAAGCCCCAATAGATTAAGTTAGAAGTGAATAGCAAAACTAAAATGTAACTTTGTAGACAATTATCATGAAAATTGTTCATACCACAAGATTTGGCCTTTCTTATTGAAGAGCTTTCTGCTTTTCAAAACTAAGGCTTTTTAAAGTTACCTGGTGTCACTCTCAGGCTCTAATTTACTGTGATCCACATACACATTTTGTTTCGTGGCAATATTTAAATCCTTAGAACCAGGAAGAAAAAGCAATATTTTAAAATCTTTATCATTCATCAATTTTGATAAGTAATGTATTATCATTGTGCTTACTTTTTCATAGGGCTTTGTATCTTAAAAAATTATTTCATATGCATTATGTCAAACCAGATCCTAAAACAAGTATTTGAAAATTTGAGATCAGGAAACTGAAATTATCTAAGGTTAATAATAAGAAATCTATATATCTATACATTGCTGTTGTGCATGTGTGTATGTGTGTGTGAGAGAGAGAGAGAAAGAGAGCATACAGATGTCCATCATGAGATTTTATGTAACTACTGGCTTCCCAATTTTCTTACTATCTACATCGTTAATGATCTGAAGAAAGTATATCTAGCCAAAAGAAAAAATAGAAACAAAGAGGTCACATATTTCCAGTAATTCCTTTCCTCACTTTCAATGTGCTCATGTCATTAGATGAGGAATAAAGGACACCTTCATTTGCAAAACCTACAATACACTAAGTCACAATTTCAAATATCTAGCTTTTATTAATTTAAGAAGTAAAATGTTGTAAAGGTGTATGGAATCTCAAGGTCCCACCTACCTCCTGGTCGTTCATGTTCTCCATCAGTGTGTAGAAGCATGGCAATGGGCATCCCTACATTCTTGGACCTTCCAGCCACAACCACATTTTTCCCAAATGTTTCAATTCCTTAAAACACAGAGTTTGATTTAAATAATCAACAAGAAGCAAATACACATTTGAACAGCCAACTGCAACATTCTTTAACATTTTCTAATTGAATTTGGATTATTGTATGGCTTGTCTATAATGTGTCCACATTCATTATTTATAAATATTTATTTTATACCTCTTGGATTTGTCACTTCCTCTCTGATAATGTCCTCATGAAAAAAAATCACAAATATTTTCAAGTTGCCATTAAATTGCTATTTAAATACTAAGGTTTGCATGAAGAGTTAGAAGAACTGAGACTTAAATATATTAACTGCTAATTACAAAGTAAAGTACAACAATGTCAAGTTTCATTGGCAATAACACTTTGAGCACAACTGGAACAAAATAAAGTGGGGGCGGTATTTTCCACAAAGCTCACGCACTTTACTTCACAGGAGAGCAGCACTAAACTTAGGGACTTAAGAGGTATGAAAGATAAAACTTGCAGATTTAACACTGTTTACCACTTTAGGGCATAGTTTCTCATAAGTAAAATGAAGAAGTTAGAATTAAGGGTGTTGTTTTTTCTCAAATACTAACATTATCAGAGTATAATTCTAGGATTTGCTTTCCTTTGGAAATTTTCTCTTTCGTTTGGAAAACAGTAGATTAGAAAGGAGATGCTGTCAGAAATAGAAGTGACAGTGGCAGAGCTCTCACAGGTGTACAGAGATATTTGCCTCTACACTGATTGACACCATATTGCCTTAGGGCAGTGGTCAGCAAGCTCATTAGTCAACAGAGCCAAATATCAACAGTACAATGATTGAAATTTCTTTTGAGAGCCAAATTTTTTAAACTTAAACTATATAGGCAGGTACATTGCTATTAACTTAATTAGGGTACTCCTAAGGCTTAGGAAGAGCCACACTCAAGGGGCCAAAGAGCCGCATGTGGCTCGCAAGCCGCAGTTTGCCGACCATGGCCTTAGGGGTCAGTTAATGTAGGGCAGCGGTTCTCAACCTGTGAGTCGCCACGCCTTTGGGGGTCAAACGACCCTTTCACAGGGGTCGCCTAAGACCATCGAAAAACACATATATAATTACATATTTCTTTTGTGATTAATCACTATGCTTTAATTATGTTCAATTAGTAACAATGAAAATACATCCTGCATATCAGATATTTACATTACGATTCATAACAATAGCAAAATTACAGTTAAGAAGTAGCAATGAAAATAATTTTATGGTTGGGGGTCACCACAACATGAAGAACTGTATTAAAGGGTCGCGGCATTAGGAAGGTTGAGAACCACTGATGTAGGGGTCAATTTACAAATGGCATTTAGAGCACAATTCAAGGGTAAATGTTTGTAATAAAAACCTAGGTCATTACAGATGATTCAAATATATTCAGCACATTCTGTTTTTAAAGGTAGGGAAAAATATAATACATTTTAGAAAATGTACATCAAAATACATTGTTTTTAGATTAAAAGTAGGGAGGCAAGCCTACTATTAAAAAATTCCCTACAAGATGCAAGAGCGGTTACCTGTAAGCCCAGGATATCTTATTTTGGATTATTCCTTGCCTTACAGAACTTTATATCTTTCTACAGAATCAGTGGGATTGAAGGGGTTCCATCAAGGCAATGCACAAGTTCTCGGTTTGGCTCTTAGCACCCACGTCCTGAAGCACAAATTACCAACCTGTTCTTTTGATTATTTCCCAAACAGCACTGGCAGTGGCAGGTATGAGAGAATGCTGATCAAGGCACAGTCTTCCAATATTGATAATATGAAATCCATCTACATCTTTTTCAGGGGCAATTCCATTGCATACTGTTCGCTCATCTACATGATCTGAAAAGTAAATAAAATTGGTCTAATTTTACAATTGTTTTTTTATTTGGAGGTATGGAACATGAAATGTGAGGACCTACAAGCAGATCACTTATAAATCATTATTCTTTTCTTTTTCTTAACACAAAAATAGTAAGACAAAATGCTCTTGACCAATGGCTGCATTTAACTGCTGTAAGAGAACAGACAAGTACAGGGCCAAAGTGGCTGGCCTGGTGTACGGGAAAAGTCTATAAAATAAAACAATACCAATGAGATCTGGGGACACCCAGATGATAAGTCTTTGCCTCAATAAGCTTGCATATTTAAATTTATGTTTTATTATATTTTCACAAATAGGCTTTCATTAAATATTTCTAGCATTACAAATTAAAAGGGCTTGGTTAGTGTTAAAAATAGTCATTAGTGCCAAGCTTCATCCCAAATGACATAAAAAAGAAAATATTAAACACACATGCACATGCCATTTCCCTGAAGCACTAGCACACTGAAATCCAAAATATCATGGTTTCCTATGTGAAAGGAAAAGAACATAACTTGGGTAATGGATGAACTCATCAAATGAGATATGAGGTCAAATTAATGCTTCGATTCATTGATATATTGCTACCTATTCGCTCATCACAAATGGAAATAGTTTTTCTCCTCTGCTCTCCCACAGAGCTGCTATAAAAAGTTCTCAGTACATTAGTTCATTTCGTTGATCACATTAGCTATTTGTATCTCTCACTCATGAGTGTGAGTGTTTTAGGGCACAACCTTGTCATATTAAACTGATCCACCCATTGCCTTTTCCATCTCAGCTGATGACAGTTCCCACCTTTTGTACAACTTGCTGAAAAAACCTGGCATCATTCTGAACACCTCCCTATCTTTCATATACAACATCCAATAAACTGGAAAATCTGTTGGCTCTTCCTTCGTAACATACCGAGCATGTCACTGCTCTCACTGTGTCCATTGATACTGCTTTGGTTTGAGAGGCCATTATCTCTCCTGTGAATTCTAGTAACAGCCTCCTAATTAATTCCCTGTTTCTATTCTTGCATCCATACAATCTATTCACAAAATAGCAGACGTTATAGTTTTGAAAGGCATGTCAGCTCACACCACTCTCCTCAAAACCCTGCCCTTTTTACTGTTCTTCTAACAGGGATGGGAAACCTTTTTTCTGCCAGGGGCCATTTGAATATTTATAACATCATTCATAGGCCATACAAAATTATCATCTTAAAAATTAGCCTGTTATATTTGGTTAAACATTTAATTAACTCATCCTCAATGCCTAGGCAGGGTCAGACCAAATGATTTCGAGGGCCTTCTGTGGCCCGCAGGTTGGACGTTCCCCACCCCTGATCTAACATATCAGGTTTTTCCTGTCTTGATTAGCTCTCCTCTGTCTGCCTGAATCCTTTAAAAAAAAACAATAAAAAACTGTCACTTTGGTTAATTTCTCACTTCTTTCAAATCTTCGCTTAAATTCCACATTCCTTATAAAAGCTATTCTGACCACATTATTTAAAAACATAAGTTCCATGTTTGATAATGTTGAAGTCATTTACACTGGACCAAACTTCTCACAAAGAAATAATTGTAAACATTAGAAAAATTATATTAAAAAGCAACTATCTGAAAACACTGGAGAGTCACTAGAAGTAGACAGATTTGGAAGAGAGTGGACATCTGAAAGAAAAAAACTGTACTGAAAGAGTTTCCCATTTTGGAGGCTTTTCCAGATCAGCTGGAATTTGGATAGAAATGTGTAGTCTTGCTTGCATAAGGAATCCAAGGACACAGTTTGGGGCTACTATGTCAGTTGGAAATTGAAGGGATATCACCCAGGAAAGAAGAGAGTGACACAGGAGAGATTCAAATTGTCTACAAACTCTGCCCGAATCTCTGACTGACCCCTGGACAACACGCCTGGGAGGCAAACTGCAAGAAGCCCACCTAAGAATAAGAGAACTAAACAGACCGCAGTTATGGCCCGCCAAAAGAAAAGAAAAGCTTGAAGTCCCCAATATGATAGACATTTACAAAAAGTTTACAGGGACATTATATTTAATAAAATACTGAATCTCTTCCCTAAGATTGGAAGTAAGTAAGGGTACCCACTCCCACCATTTCTATTCAATGTTTTATTGGAGATCCCAGGTGGTGATTAGATAAGGAGGCGGAGGAAGGCCTAAAGATCAGAAATGAAGTAAAACCCTAGTCACAGATGGCATGGTTGTTTATGCACAATATCCTAAATATCCTATATAATGAAAGGCTAATATGCAAATCGACCAAACGGTGGAATGACTGGTCACTATGACACACACTGACCACCAGGGGGCAGATGCTCAAAACAGGAGCTGCCCCCTGGTGGTCAGTGCGCTCCCACAGGGGAAGTGCCACTCAGCCAGAAGCCAGGCTCACGGCTGGTGAGCACAGCGGCAATGGAGGGAGACTCTCCTGCCTCCACGGCAGCAGTAAGAATGTTTGACTGCTGGTTTAGGCCCTCTCCCCATGAAGAGCAGGCCTAAGCCATCAGTTGAATATCCCCTGAGGGCTCCTAGTTTGCAACAGGGCACAGGCTGAGCTGAGGGATCCCCCAAGTGCACAAATTTTGTACACTGGGCCTCTAGTTTACAAATAAAAAATAAAAGAATAAAATGAATTTAACAAGATCACAGAATACAAAGTCAACATACAAATAAATCAATTGTATTTTTTATACAAACAGCAACTACTAGAAAATTAAATTCTAAAAATTCTATTTATAATAGTGTTCAAATCATAAAACATGTAGAAGTAAATTTTAAAGTATGGAAGATAACTTCTATAATGAAAACTACAAAACATCACAGGATGTCAATTCTCCCAAATTGATCTTTAGATTCAATGTAATCTCTATCATAATCCTATGAGGGTTTTTTGGTAGAAGCTGACAAACTGATTCTAAAATTTATATGGCTATGCAAAGAACTAAAAATATCCAAAGCAATCTCAAAAATTAGGAAAGTCTCTCAGTTGAAAGTATCTAGTTACATGAGAGTTTGTATTTTTCAAAATTTACAGGTAAGTACATTTAAGATTTATTCATTTTAGTGCATGTAAATTTCACATGTAAATGTAAATAGTGTAAATAATAATATGCACACTTATGTTTAGGGGTACATTCAGTGTTCTTATCTTTAAATGCTTCAAAAATAAGATGGACTGATAGATGGATAAATGTGATGTGTTAATAATTAGAATATAGGTTGGGGGCATGTGGTGTTCACTGTACCATTCTTTTAACTTTTCTGAATGTTTGAAATTTGTCATAATAAAATATTGAGGGGAAAACAAAAATACAACCTGTTCCCCAATATCTCGATCTTCTTTACCATGCTCCATTTCTTTTTTCCCCCACAGCATATCAACTTTTAATAACTATAATTACTTGCTGTGTTTATTTTCTATTGGCTGTCTCTCCTGCTACTTCACAAGGGAAGACATTTTCAACTTTTTTGTCACTGGTGTATTCCTACCACAAAGAATAATATCTAGCCCGGCTGGGAGAGCCCATGGTTTGAGTGTTGACCTATGAACCAAGAGGTCACTGGTTCGATTCTGATAGAACACATTCCTGGGTTGCAGCCTGGCTCCCCAGTAGGGGGTGTGCAGGAGGCAGCTGTTCGATGTTTCTCTCTCATCGATGTTTCTAACTCTCTATCCCTCTCCCTTCCTCTCTATAAAAATCAATAAAATATATTTTTAAAAATAATAATAAATAAATAATATTTAAGTTACACCCTATAGGTTCTACATGAAGGTTCAAGACAGGAAATATTTACCAGGTGCTTACCACTTGCACAATATAATTTGAGTTGTTTCATCATCAAGGAGTGAGGGGATGAAAAAAGAATGTGGAGTGACTGCCATCTCACTGTACTTCTACATCCCCAAATTCGAGAATAGAGTAGAGCCTGGAGGCAGAGTGGGAGGTATGGCTCTCCACCCTTCCTTACCCTCTTTCTCGTATAAGGCCATAGAAACTGCAACAACATCCCAGGCAGGCTTACTTCACAGGCTATAAAAACTGATTCATGGAGTGGGAACCTACATATCATGCAAAAGTTACTACCTCTGCCCTGCATGTATCTCTTAAGTGACCTGAAAAGTACACAGGGATCCAAAAATAGCCTTATTCTTCAGAAGGAGTATTGAAGACACCTTGGTTTGTTAAGTCCTCAGTTTCCTAGGCACTACACTAAGTGACTCCTATCAAATATATAGTACAGCACTCGAAGCAGTGCATATTCTATAGAAGAAAACACATAGGTAGGTGAGTATGTCTATTCTAAGGAGCTTCTTTTACACACAAGGAAAAAGAAGAGATGCTGTGTTTGGGGGATCTTGTTTGCAAACATCTCGAGGACAGCTAGTCCAAATTTTTTTCCAACTACCACTTTCCCCTAGTGCTTAGCACAGAGTTGTATATAGATTGAACTCTAAGTAAATAGTTGTTGAATTGGTAAATGAATGAAGAGGGTCACAAAGAAATCATATAAATGTATATTTTAAAAGACTTTCTACCAAAAAAAAAAAAAATCCAGAAGTTTAAAGGTCTTTTGATTTTGATAAATTCTTGACCCAAGATGAATACACTAGAAACAATATGAGAATATCATGATAAAAGAAAAAAGGTGAAAAAGAAAAGAAGTAACCTCTGTAGTTCAAGAATTCCAAATTTTAAATATACTTTGAGAAGTATATCATCTCAAGTTTTATGATACTAGAGGCCTGGTGCACAAAATTCATGCACTCAGGGGGTCCCTCAGCCTAGCCTGGAGCCCTCGGCGAATGTCCGACTGATGGCTTAGGCCCGCTCTCCCGCCACCGCCGCTGCAGGAGTCTCCCGCCACCGCTGCTGCGCTCCCCAGCTATGAGCCCAGCTCAGGGCTTCTGGCTGAGCAGTGCTCCCACTGTGGGAACACACTGACCACCAGGGGGCAGCTCCTGTGTTGAGT